TGTATGGCTCCAGCCGCCCCTCCGCGTCCACCTGAAACCGCGTAAGCTGCGGCTCGTGCGCCGCGTCCAGCGGCATCACTGTGTACCAAAACGACGCCGTGGGTTTGTACGGGTTCGCGAAATTGAATCTGTAGATGTACGGAACGGTCATCTCTGGCACGCCGGTGAATAAGTCGCCAGTCCAGTTACCGGATGACCAGTAAGGAACGGTGCCATTGTAGACAAGCTGGAACTCGTTGAACCCTAATGGGTTCAGCCTCAGGGTGTAGAACCCCGACGACGGGTCGAACAGCGTCCGCCACGAAGTCAACAACGTTTGACCGGTGACGTTCATCCCTGGAAGCCACGTGTCCGTCGGATGGTCGAAGCTCTGCCAAACCTTTAAACCGTCACGTACCAAAACCAGATTACCGGTTTCCAGGAACCGGAAATCCGTTCCCGGCTCCTCGTTCTCCGTCCGCCAAACGATGCCGTTCCGGGAGTCCTTCACGGCAAGGTTTCCGTCGGCGGTGAGCTCCAGGGAAGACGAGCCCGGATCCGAAAGGGGTCGGTTCCGGTTCGCGACCCACACGTACGTCGGGATAGGTATGGAAGCGTACCAGATTCCCAAGTACCAACCGGAGGACGGCAATGGAGACAGGGTCGGAGATGGAGGCGATATCTTGCCATTGGTGGTGCTGAAGAACCCAAGCCGGAAAATCTTATTCGCGCTCAGAATAGTCTGATCTCCTCTGAGTAAAACCTTGTCGTCGGCAGTTTTAGAGGTCGCGAGTGGGAGAAGAAAGAGGAAGAGAAAGAGAAGAGGAGGATATGGACATGGCATTTGGGAAAGTTTCTTCTTTTGCTTGTTCCTCTTCTCGGGCATCAATGGTAGTGGTGGTGTTTATTTGGGGTTTTTTTTCTAAAATGCACTACTTGGATCACATGTATTTCAGGTGTACACCTGAAAAACATAACGATTTAGTAAAAGTCTGGTTTGCCCTTAATAAAAATGGAAAAGACCAAATAACCTTGAATAAGTAACCGTGTGAGAGAAGTCGCACGTGTAGGAATTAAAATCCCGTGAAAAAGTAAAAAAAGAGGGAAATTCAGAAGAAAAAGGGAAATTAGGATATTTTTACTACAGTTATTTACACGGAACTTAAAAAAATCGAGAAACCACCAGAGAGAGAGAGAAAACGCCGAGAGAGAGAGTTGTGAAATCAGTGAGGGAGAAATCGAAATCGAAAACCCAAGTGTGATTACCTCTGAAACGACGAGAATGCAAAGAGCTTCGTCGAGTGGAACCGTTGTTTCAACCATGGGCGGATCCAGCTCTTTAGCAGTGGGGTCACAGGCCCCCACCCTTTTTTTAAAAACAAAATATTTTCTTTACAAAATTTATAAAATTTTACACAAATTATTATATGCCCCCATAAAATAATTAAAATTACTATTATGAAATTAACTTTGCCCCCAATCATAAATCTTTCTGAGTCCGCTACTAGTTTCAACACGGTCGAGGTCGGTCGCCGGAAGAACCCAGACGCAGTCGCAGTCGGTGGCGGAGGGGGAGACATCAACAGGCTCGGAATCTTCCCGTGAAAGAGAAGTAAGAATTTTGAATTTGAGTTTGGATTTGAAGTTGAATTTGTGTAGGAATTAGGTTTGGGTTGTAATTTGTTGATCTTAGGTTGAAGAAGACAAAGTCCGAAACATTAGAGCGGGAAACAAAGAATCGTTAAAATTTTGGATGATTGTAACATAAATTTTGCAAATTGTGTGATATAAAATAACAAATAAGTAATTGTAGTGAATTAAGTTTTCGTTCAAAGTTTGATTTGGATTGATGATGACAGATTGTAACTTAAAAGTTGCAAGGTGTCTGATAGGAAGTGATAAATAAGTAATCGTAGTGAATTCAATTACGAATTCTGTTATATATTTGATGAACGTAAATGTTTTGTTGCAGATTGTTGATATACACAAAGCTGAATTCTATTATGAATTTGACGATATGAACAAGATAGCAGTGAAGGTATCGTCAAAATGTTTTCACGTAGCAGTAGTAGAATTTCTACAGAACTATATGACTGAGGAGGAGCTGAAATATTTCACGGAACAATCGCAATTCAGGCACATATTCCACATGATTTGTAATTCAGGCACATAACCATATGACTGAGGAGGAGCTGTAATTTGAACATGGCTTGTTTTTTGTTGTGGTTTGTGAACTTGGAATATGGTTTGCTGTTTGTTGTGGTTTTTGAACCTCTGAATCACGTTGTGGTGTTGTTGTGGTTTGGAATATGGTTTGCATTATTGTGTTAGTTCAGGGTTTCATAAGTCGAAATAAAGTAGTTGTGTGCTGAAAGTGACAAAAATAAAGTAGTTTTTATGCATAATTCATACAAAAAGTGGGTGGAATTTGAAGTTAAATTAGAAAAGTCAACAAAAAAAACAAGTCAAAGTCACTTTACTGACAGGTGGGTCCAGGGAAAGAAGCTGAAGCTGAAAAAAGACGGCATTTGTCGTATTATCGCCCAAAACCAACTATTTGCAACGTTATTGCAACTACGTTACGACTCTAACACGACTATATTACGACATAATTACGACTTTTATTGGTCGTAATCGTGTAAAACTTCGTGAAATTTGACGAGTTTTACGTCGAGTGATGATGAAACCCTTGAAAATAAGTATTAGAAATAGATTCAAAGGCACGAACTAACAAAAGAAAAATTTGAAAAAAAAATTACCAACTTGATTGAAAGTGTTCCTATATGTTTCTTAAACATATAGGAACACTTTGATCCAAATCTATATTATTGTATAAAAGTTTTTGAAATGTGACTTATAAGTCAATTTTCCTACTTACTTAGTCGGTATTCATCACTCCTTGTAGAAAACTCGGCAAATTTAACGACATTTTTGACATTTAGACCGAAAATCCAAAGTCGTAATCAAGTCATAATCGAGTCGCAATAAGTTGGGTATGGACGATAATAAGACAAAACTTGGTTTTTTGTCGAATGGCCACCAGTTGTCAGACTTTTGTTCCTTTTTTCGATTTTACCTTTTTTTTTGTTAAGCTTTTTTGTTTTTTTTTAAATTGGACATAGTCACGATGCATAGGTTTTCAAAAGGTCGTAACATAGTCACGATGAAGTCGTTTACAAAAAGTCGTAACATAGTTACGATGAAGCCGTTTACAAAAAGTCATAACAGTTAACAAATGAAATATACATTCATGACAGGTTTTACATTTCATCTTCTAACTGCAAAACGATTTCATTGTCTTTCTTCTTCCTCTTCTGTGACAGTGGCTCCTCTGAATCATATGGATTCACCCTCGATTTTCTTTTATTTCCTCTTTTTTCCCCGGCACTCTTGATTCGATTCATGGTCGGTCGACCAACACCTCGTTCTCTTACAATATGAGGGTTCATTTTCATCTCCGCGACATGATCAGGAATAGTCCAATAGGAAATGGTCTTACCATTTTCATCATCTCCTTTCCATTCAAATAACTCATCTTACTTTCTTTCCCAAATACCACCATAACGAATACATACACATGTATAACAATCTTCAAGACGATCCATTTTCCTGTAACAAAGGTCGTAAACAGGTTGGGTTCAACGACAAATTAATTTGGGTCATGACATCAAGCTCTAGAACATCTCGGCAGTGTTGATTTTTTGTAGAAAATGATTGGGTTTCATTCACATTATACCTCAATAATGGCGGAGCTGTCGGGAAGAATGCCGGAGCTGTCGATCGCAGCTCTCGTCGGGAACAATGGCGGAGAAACCAGTCGGGAAGATTGCCTCCGCTGAGAAATGCCGACGACGATACATGGGAAGAAGAAGAACATCAGGAGAGAGAAACCCACATCGTTTTTTAATTGAACACGTTTTGTTTTTTATTTTTAAAGTAAGGATAATTTCGACTTTTTGCATATAGGGTTATTTTCGACTTTTCAATCGAAAAGTGGTGTACAAGCTGAAAAATTTTCACGCCCTTTTATTTTAGGTGTACACCTGAAATTAATGTGCTCCAAGTAGTGCATTTTAGAAAAAACCCCGTTTATTTGGCGAGAAAATCGCTGGTGTTTTCTCAGGCATGGAAGCTCCGACGAAGTTCGCTTTTTGCCTGTGTTTAAAATTTTGAGAGAGAATTTTCGAAGAAAATCTGAAAAATCTGGGAATCACGGACACGATGCATATAAAATTATAGAGAGAAAAAATCTCGGGACCATAATTCTTGATTGGATTTACTGAATCACCCCTAACGTTACCTAAATAATAGGCGTTTCGATGTCTTGGCTATATGGACACAGAGGGGTAGTATAGGAAAAGGGGGAACAATGAAAAAAGTCCAAGCAAAAAGGGTATGTGGAGGAGGAGGTGGCAGACAGATGTGCTTAAAGTCCAACCACGAGTCGCCCGTCGTCTTCCAAAAATCTTACAGATTTTATTCTTTTTTCTTTTAATTTCAATTTCGTAATTCAGGAGTAGTGGATTAAATAAATATTCGGGATTATTAGACAAATCTCATGTTCTTTGAATTTTAAAATTATACAGGGGGACCGTCATTCCCAATTCTCACATCATTATCTCCTGTAATTTGCTTTCATCATCTGTTTACACGTGTGCGTGCATAATGTAAAATATTTTATCTGGAGCTTGTGGGAGAAGGCAAACGACGTCGTATCGAAGAAGATGGGCTGTATAGGCCTTTTAATTATCAATAAAACGGCCCACGCCATATGACCTGAGGTCAAAGGTCAACACCCTCTGACTCGTTCGGCAACTTGAACACAAATCCCTCAACTGCCTTGAAAACTGCCATCTTAACCTAACCCATGTCGTCCTTTATCTGGCTTCAAATCAAAGGTTCAAGTATGCAAATTTAAGCGTCCGTGTCCGATTTGTTTACGTATTTATTTATTTGAAAAAATAAATGGACTGAGAGGAACATTTTGTCCAGCTGGCTTTTAATAACCAGTTTATTTATGGACGATCCAACTAACTTTTTTTTTTTTTTTTTTTGAAAATTCAAAACATAGTCCTCGTCATCTTCTCTCTCCCTCTTCTTCAGTTCTTCTACCCGCCATCTCTGCGATTTTACCTCTCCACCGATGTACGATCGCCGGAAACCTACCTCCGTCGCCGGTTCTTCTCCTGCAACCACTTCTTTCTACACCGATGTCAGCTCCTCCGCAGCCTCCTCCTCTGGCAAACCCATCTCCTCCGTTATCCGTTGGATCGCAGGACTCTTTATCAACTGCTTCACTCCTCCAGAATCCGCCGTCTCTACAAATTCCGACGCCTACTCCGGTACATTCTTCCATTGAAGCTCGTGTTCGTATTTCCCCTTCCGATCCTGTCAGAATATCTGTTTGTTCTCTCCGCAATTTCTCGCTTTCTCTAGTTGCGGTTCACACATCACGCTTTGAGCACAGATTCTCGATTTTCGGATGATAGACTCAGTAGATATTGAGCTGAAACGTGCCAATTATATGATAAGAAGAATCGAGTTCATGAATTTATTGTTTTCGTGTGTACTGAGTGAGCAGAATATAGCAGTCGTAGGCGACGGAGTTCGCAAGGAAGTATCCAGAGGATTCCAGGAAATTCAAAGGACGCAGAGAACCAGAGATTCACCTTTGAAGAAATCTACGACACGACCAATAATTTCTCGCCGACGTTCAAGATCGGGCGGGGAGGTTTTGGGACTGTATACAAAGGGAAACTCAGAGATGGCACGGTCGTTGCCATCAAACGCGCCAAGAAGGTCCAATTATACAAATCTTTGTTTTTCTCTCTAAACTTTACATATCCTTTGAATCCAAGTGCTGCTTTATGGAGAACACTCCCACTAGTATGAAAATATTGCATGTCCGATGCAGAGTATCAATGAGGGCGGTGAAAGTGCAGAGTTTCAGAGTGAGATACAGACGTTGGCTAGAGTACAACACATGAATTTGGTGAAATTCTATGGATATCTGGTTGAAAATGACGAGAAAATTCTGGTCGTGGAGTATGTGGCCAATGGAACTCTCCGAGAACACTTGGATGGTGAGCGATTTTTCTGGGGGTTTTTCATCTTATAGCATCCAAAGACACAGAACATTTGTAAAAGGAGTGTTCTGTAGGTAAGCATGGAAACATTCTCGATCTGGCTACCCGACTAGATATTGCAATCGATGTAGCTCATGCCATAACCTATCTTCATATGTATACAGGTAAGTTGTAAACTCAACTTGATCTGTCGTGTCAAAAAAAGTCTCTTTTTTGTCAGAGAATTGGTTATAAACATTGTCAGATGTTTAAATGTAGATCATCCAATCATCCACAGAGACATCAAGTCATCAAACATCCTCTTGATGGAGAACTTCCGAGCAAAGGTGGCTGACTTCGGCTTTGCCAGACTGGCTGCCGACAGCGAAACAGGGGCCACCCATGTTTCGACTCAAGTCAAAGGAACCGCAGGTTACTTGGACCCCGAGTACTTAACGACCTATCAGCTCACTGAGAAGAGCGATGTTTATTCTTTCGGTGTGCTTCTCGTCGAGCTTGTCACTGGCCGCCATCCCATCGAGGCTAACCTCCAAACCAAAGAACGCATTACCGTTAAATGGGTAATGAATGAGCTTCACATCTCTGTTTCATCTTGATTCCTGCATGTTTTATATTATTTGCCAGAGAGATTTTAACTGGGTTGTATCATAACCCTGTCGTTTGGAAACGCGAACAGGCGATCAAGAAATTCACAAACGGAGAGGCAATAACCATCCTGGACCCGAAGCTAGAGCGAAGTCCGGCGAACAACTTAGCAGTGGAGAAGATTCTAGAAATAGCATTCCGATGCGTGGCTCCTCGTAGACGATCTCGACCTAGCATGAAGAGGTGCAATGAGATTCTTTGGGGAATCCGCAAGGATTACAGATCAGAGTCCGCCATGGACGCCAGTTCCATCTCTTCCCATGCTCAAACAAGCGATTCGGGGACATAATGAGACTTCCTCCCATACGGTAATTTAGCACGGAATAGTTGGTACTTTTGTTTGGATTTTGTATTGCTGAATTTAGACAATGTGTCATTTTTGCAAACACATACAAATGTGTGACAATGACATATGCATGTTTAAGAGTTTTTCCCATTTCGAGGGGCCTTTTAGGTGGAATTGAAAATGATATGGTATTATTATTTTATTTTTTCGGTGAATAACGATATGGTATTATTACAGATCGGTTCGACCGTAAACGTCAAATAGTTTGTATTTAGGGGGGGGGAGATTGCGTAGCTTGCAATGACTCTCTGTTCTCCTGCTTAGAAAACGTTTAGTTAGGTTGAGCGGACAGTTTTTTTTTCTCTCCAGATTTTAGAATCGTATTTATAAATGTATGAACAATCCTATATTTTAAATAAAACGTTAAATATTAATAACAGCATTGGCGCAGATAACGCTGGAAACACGTTATATTTACCATATATACCCTTCAAGATATTTTTTTTCCGACAAGAGTATCATTGCCGTTTACAGTTATATGATCCTAAACCCCAAAAGATGGAAGAATCTGCCCGACCTGTATTGGATGAGAGCCTTATTACACGTCAGCATTCATCACCAGCAAAAAGCATGTCCAAGTCCAAACCAAACAGGTCACTGAATGAGTGATAGAGGGAAGCTCCGAAAAGAAAGGCATCTAAATAAAACTAAAAAGCTAAAATATTTTTTTCCAAAAGAAAGAAAGAAAGAATAAGCCCAAACAGCAGACCCATCTTACTACAAAATGTTCGCGAAAGAAACAGACAGACCAAACCCCAACTCCAGAAGAACTCCACAAAAAGACCAGATGGAGAGGAAGTGGTGGGTTTGTTCAGTTACAAAAAAGCCCTCCGAGAAGTCAGAATATTTCACATGAGGGACTTCAAAGATCTTGCCTTTACGGGCTTCCTCCCTCTCTTCTTAATCATCTTCATGCTATCATCGTTTTGTTCCACCACGTCATCATCATCATCATCATCATCATCATCTCTTTCTTCCTCCTCCTCCTCCTCCATATAACTCAATCCATTACACTCACTGCTCCCATCTCCAAACGCCACCGTTTTATCCTCCTCACCACCAATACTCTTCTTTGTATTATTATTCATATAATCGCCGCTATTCTTAATACTATCCCCGTTACCATTACTAATAACAGTCTCCTCCTCCGTCCCACTCTTGCCGCCTCGCCTTTTTCCCCACCGCGGGCCGAACCCCGAGTAATAGTAAAACTCGTAAGGGTTCGCCGCCGCCGAAGCTTTCTTCCCCGTTCCACGTGGCCGTCCCCGCCGTGGCGGCGAGGTGGTGCTCCCCGACGCCGGAGTCCCTCGGTCGCCGCTCTTGAAACCGGAAGCTTTCTGTGATTTCTTGGCTTTGTTGCTGCTGCTGCCCCTCCACCGCGGCTGATCGGTCTGTTCTTCGTAGGGTAATTTCTCGTTGTTGTCCTCCGCAATGATATCGAGTTTCTCCACGGAGACGACACTGGAAATTTTTTTTTTTCTCTTTTTATGTAAACTTCACGCCGAATGTACGATGATTTTAAAAAAGTTTGGGGACGATAAAAGCTCCAAATTGGAACCGGGCCGATGGTGGCGCCCGGTATTTCGAATCCGATTCGGGGACCAATTATCCAATTATCTAAGAAGGAACAACCGAAAACCCTGAAACGACAGGAACACGAACCGTACAACAACCGATAATGTGGAAGCGATTGGAAGGAAGGTGAGTGATGGGTTTACCTCTCGGCAGCGCCAGAAGAATCGCCCAAGCTCACATTCCCATTGAAACTATCGTCTCCATCGAACTGCTTTCCAGTATGCAGACAATTTTCCAACTTCGTGTCAAAAGAATAATCGGCCAGAAAACGAAACCCCAGGCAACGAGAGGCGCAAGTGAAGGAAAACAATAACGACCCACCAACCCTAATCGATAAACCAAACAGTCCAGAACCCCGAAATCCAGAATTTAGGGTTCTTTCCATCCCCGAACTGAAAACCCTAATGTGAGAAGGTGATAACCGCCGGAGATAAAACTAGAGAAATGTGGGACATCTACGGCAGATAAATCCAACGGGAACATACGCAACTGGAAGAACGTAGGCATACCTGGTGAATGCGTGGAGAAGAAGACGACGAAGAAGGGAGGAACCACGACGAGTCGAGTTGGCTGGTTAATGCGGCGGGCCCATAGCAGGGGGAAGTGAATGGAATCACATCCCACGGAGACTGGTTGAAGTGGCAGACGTGAGTCTGCGGTCTCTCTCCGCCGCAACCCGCCGTCAAAAGCAGCGACGACAGTGTCGTGTTCTTCCGAATCCTCATTTTACCCCAAAACTATCCAAAAACCCAGAAACCAACAGTCAGAATGCTTACATATACTCCTGCATACAGATATTTTTCCCTGTGAGTGTAGTGGTGCGCATATATATGTATACCCCAATTCACCTCCTTCTTCTCGAGCGGTTTTTTTCTTTCTTTCTTTGTTTTTTTTTTGGCGCAGATCTCACAGAACTCGATACGAAGGGTTTTTGCGTTTTTAACTTTCCGTTGCTTTCTCGGCCCTTCATATATTACGATCTGTTTTTCTAGTTGTTCGGTTTTACCCTTAGGTCTTCCATTATTTACTGAAAATGCCCCTGAGGATAATTGGGGACAAAAATAAAAGGTTGCTCGCTAAATTTACCATTTTTTTTTTCATAATATATTTTTTTTATAATCCGAAAGTTCACCGCACCTTTGGTCCAACTACATTTTCTAGAAGACTGGGGCAGTCCATGTAAAAACCCCTCCCCAACCAGAAATCAAAACGCCAACCTCTGAGTGATTTACACTTAACTGTTGACAACTCACCCACAAACTCTTGGATCATAATATGTGTTTGTTAAGATTCCAATACTGGACAGCACTTTGTGTTTCATAACAACCAGACCATTAACTCATGACCGCGAGATCATAATCCCCTATGATCCCTCCCACCGTATCAACGATCGTATATACTTCCATTACCATAATTGGAGTTACGAATATTTAAATCTTCCGCCCAAGATGTAACTGATGATCATAGCATATTTACTCTTTCAAACCTTCACTTATTTTTTAAAAAAGTTTACACCCATCAATAGAAAAATCTTAAAATACGTACGTATATATATATATATAGATATAAAAATATATGGGTAGTTGGTTGTCACGTGATCAAGGAGATGAGGCACGTGAGGGCGCATTGATAGAGCATGCACATGAGATTTTGGCTAGAGGCATTTTGGTAAAATAGGCGTCTTTGTGATTTTTCATCTTATATACAACGCGATTCCTGGAACGAGGGAAAATGGTGGTGCGTGAGAGTCACGTGTGACAGGCGGGAGAGTGGGTAACACGTGTGGGCCACATGGATGGACTAAGACAATTACACAATGCGGCTAAGATATCGGTGATCTCTACAAAGGAGAACCGTCCGATCTTCGAAGACAAAGAGATCGTACGGCTTTAAAATAAGATAGACAAATGGCGAGTCAGGGACAGAGAATCTGACGGTCGTCTCGCTAAGTTAGCACGGGGTGAGGATCTCCAAGTCTTACGTGTCAGTTGATATTGGACTTATCTATAAAATAAATAATTCACTCGGAAAAAATCTTCTATTTGACACAAACAAAATAATTATACATGGTGTTCGTTTGTTAACAATCATATCATTTATCTTAAAAAAAAATTATATATTTGATTTTTAAGGTATAAACAGTATCCATAGCAAAGTTTGATGATCAGCATCAGTTTTAACATCTAAGAATGTGTGGATGCATATACTGTAAATGCATCAATTTGAAAGAAAAAAAAAATTTATAATTGTGAAATATTTAAACAAAATTCATTTTGTGGAAGGCCTTGCCATCCGCCTCCAAAATAACGCAAGCAAAGGCCTCCTTATACGTAAACGCAGCTTTTTTTGGGTTCAATAGAGGCCCATATACTTTGTTGTTTTATTTATTATTCCTAATAAATCTCGTACAAATTGAAAAAATATTAGTTTATTTAATGATGGTTGCTTGTGAATATCCTTGTTGTTCTCTTGTTTAGTACGAAAAGTTATCTTCGCGTTGGCATCACGGTTAAGTAGTTTTTTACTTGTTCAACATTCATACAGTATAGTATTATGTGATTGGCATTTTAGAAAAAATAAAATGTGAATTGTATAAAATCGTACGTATGGTATTTTATCTCTAAATACAGTGAACAAAAAAAAAAGATACTTACGTACAATTAAAACCTAAAATACACAAGTATACGAGTTTTGATATCTATGTAATAATTTTATTGCAGGCGTAGAAAATAAAATTCGGGAACGATCAGGGTTCTGCATAGCGGGCAGGTAATCTCGTCGTCCTGAATCCAACGGTCAAGACAAGTGCGATGGAAAACATGGACGCAGTTCCTCAGACGCCGGACCTCGTCTTCTCCGGCAAATCCGACAGCTCTCCAGCGGGTTTATCCGGGAAATATCCTCGAACTTGGTCGCCGGAAATATCTCCTCCACGGGGATCTTGTTCTTACATTCCAGCTTTGAAAAAACATTACAAAAACGAGAGAGATGGACGAAAGAGAAATGATGTTATAAGATCTTTCAGGATGATTCCGACGATTATAACTCCGACACCCCCGTACGAAAAGCCCATCAACCTTTTTTCTTCTGATGGCCAGAACGAAGAAGATATTTAAATTCGGATTAGATTTTGCTGTTTTTAGTCGAAAGAAGAAGACGAGAGAGAGAGAGACGGGGGAGATTTAGAAGATTACCTATTAATTTGTGTAAATGCGAATATATATATGGATTTCTTGGCGTGTGAGTCTATGGCGGAAGTATATAAATAAATTATATATAGCGGTTTTTTTTATCATTGGTCAATGTTTCGTAATCTTAACGTGACAGAATAAACAATATTAAATTGCAAACATGATTCTTGACGATTGTCACGTTTCTTAAACTAATTTATTAGAGGTGTTGTATAGGAAATCCATTCATACACATGTTGTATAGGAACACTTTACAAGTTGAAATAAAAAGTACTCTGTAAACGAAGAAATCCAAAAAATCTATGAATTTATGGGGTTAATTGCTTGGCCACGTCTGCAATAGTTTTCTTCAAAAAAAGCTCATATATACAACACATATATGTATACACAACACACACACATACACATATATATATAGCCATATATGTATAAATGTGTTTATTCCAAACAAAACAAGCAAAAATCCACAGAACTTTACAGTTAAACATAGCTTCACAAGTTGATTTGCGGGCGAACATCATTCTTTTGGCTGCAAATCAAAACGTACGGACAAAAGCGTGGGGCCCGTCTTTCCACGCTGAATATTCGCAGAGAAATAGCCGGAAAAAAAAAATCCATATACAAACATCACAACGCCAGGCAGCCTTATTTTAATTACTTGCGGCAGAAGGAACCGCCACCGGAATCGGAAAAGCGGATCACCAGCTGAAGCTGATAGATTCGAAATGCAGGTTCTTAGCCAAGCCCGACGAGCATATCGCTGCGACTTCGTGTCTCATCTTCTTCGGCCCACACACCAAAACTCCAACGCTCGATCCTTTCGTATCCAGCAGAAGTCCTGTTTTCATCCACAGACCGCATGTTTAACTTTGAACGAATCCAGTTTATGTAAGGAAATAACAATGAAAATGATCTCAAAACGAAGCAGTATAATGTTAGAAAGACTTACTGGTGAGATCGGGCCTTTGTCCGAAGTGCAGGTTGGTGGATTGAAGGAGGGACTGTCGAGGAGAACTCTCCAGCTCTCTCTCTGCGTTGTAAGCCCATGATGTCGGAGAAGCAGTTGTCGGAGTCGGTACGCTGATGCTTTCGACCTGTTTTCTTTCAACAGTGCCGTACTTGTTCTTGTTCCACAACATGGCTGCCGTAGCTGTCGCCATGATGCTCACGCAGAGGATCAGAGCGTACAAAATCGATCTAGAAGCAGATGAGAAGATCTTGTTGGTGTTGTGATCGATCGGGTATATGTAATATCTTGTGATGATTCCGATGAGTATCAAGAAAATGAGGAACGACGATGAGAGGACGGCGCCCAGACAGAGACCGGAGTTCGGCCCGAGAATTGCAGAGATCGGCTGGTCTGAGAGAATTGGCTTGAGCCAGAGAGTTCTGATCTTCTGATCTGCTTCGTTTCGAGGTTCTTTCTCTCGGGTTATGAAGGCTTCTATTTGGATATTCAAATCCGAGGAGATATCGGTATCGATACCAGACATTGGGAGAATCAGTTCAAGCATGGATAGATCATTAGAGTTCTTGAATGCGCATATCAATGTTATTTTAGGGGTTTCGCAATTCAGGGTTTTGCTCGCAGAGATTAGGTCGCGGATTATGGAGATGAACGGAGTTATACCACTACCGCCGCTCACCATCACCAGGGATTCGTGCCTGCAGAACCAGGAAGAGTGGAAGATTGATGTTACTTGCGACTCAAGAAAACAAATAACTTTTAGGGCTCCATTAAATACCTGAAGAAATCCGTGGAAACAGGGCCATAGGGTCCTTCGACAGAGACAGGGAGACGATCAATCTGAGAAGAAGAAAGGATCTTATAGAGTTTGGTGGACCATTTTCCTTCGCCCTTGATCACAACGCTCATCTTCTCCGGTTCGAGATTGCTGCTCGAAGTTATGGTAAAGGGATGCCATTGCAGCTTCGAGATGCTCGGTATGTTCACGAACATTATGCTCGTCGGATTATACATCAGCCCTGTGCGTATACACGCATGTTTAGAATTTAGAAATCACGAGGGGGAGAGAGAGAGAGGTTTGTAAGTACTTGGGCTTTTGGAGAAATTGAGTTCGACGGTGTCGCAGGGAAGAACACGGGCGGAGATCAAGCGGACATTGTCACGTGACTGCAAGAACCTGACGAAGCGATCGACCATGAAGATGAAGAAACCGGGGAAGGCTATGAACGAATAGGAGACGCCCACGTGGAGGACGAAGAAGAGGAAGAAGACAATGTAGAGATAGTGAGTGTATAAGAACACTTCGAAGGCTCTCCTCCTTATTGTCGGGTATGTGGTGGCCCACATCGCCAGTCCCGCCACCAGCGATATCTCCCCGGCTAGATTCGCGACACCCACATTGGCCCACTCAATCATCTGTTGCCACGTGTCCCGCGTAAGTGATCGAATAATAGATTGTTGAAATTGCAATATTACCCCTGGTTTTATGATTTATTTATTTATTTATATTCTGATGGTTATTCCATTTCTTTGCATCCGAACAAATATGCATGCGAAGACTAAAAAAAAACGATTATTTTATTTTTTTAAAAGAAAAATTAGAAGTGGGAAACGGAGCTCCTCCGTTGGAAGTGCAGTGATGGGTTGAATCATTGATTTTACACGTGGGCCCCAAAAATGGACTCGTCGGCCCATGGACGAACCGTGTCAGTCTAATCAGAGTCAACCCAAAATACACAACAGAATATATATATATTTTTTCCAAAACCACATAATCTTGAATATTGATGAAGTTTAGATTATGAAATAAGAGAATTACAGAAGAAGAAGAAGAAGCAAATACCTGGGAAATGTGGTGAGTAGAGATCCAGAAGAGGATGTAAGAAAGGCCGTGAGCGGAGAAGAGGGTCATGGCCAAGTGGCCGAGCCAGATGTGGTATTTGATGCTCGACTCCGACGTCAGCCCCACCAGCGGCAACAACGACGACCCTCTCGCCACCGGAAGGAACAGAAACGCCAAACATATGTTCCCCACCACCCCAAATCTCAGTGCCACCGTCTCTAGCTTCGCTTGCCACCTTTTATTTATATAAATAAAAACATCAAATATATAGTATACATATATATGATTAATTTGACAAAAAAAATAAAAAGAAGAAGCTTACACTTGGTGTCCATCTTCGGCAGCTGATTGAGGGGTGATGGTGAGGAAGCCGTTGTAGAGATAAGTGCAAAAGCTCCAAAGAAGAAGAGCCACAAACATAAGCAAGAACCCAAACTCTGTCACTGACACTATCCCTAATGGCCCCTTCACCAACATTGGCCTTCTCAATACCTCCATCTCCCCCTTCATCTCCCTTCATTTTTTTATTAATTCATACAAACATCAATTCATGAGAAGACATAATCCATATATAGAACGTGGGTGGAATATTATATAATATCCGGAGATCTTTTTTCCAAGTACCTATTGAATTGGTCGACGTTCTTTCGTTTCTTCAAGTGAAGGTAGACACCTCCCATGCAAGCCATCAAGATCATCGGGAACGTGAACAACAATAGAGTCGTTCCTGTTTTCCAAACCAAACGTACGGATTAAAAAAAGAAAACAATCACCCATAGTAAATGATAACAGATCATATTAAAAGCTGGTGTTTTCCCTGAATTTATACATAAATAAAACTGAAAGCGAATATCGATACGAAACCTGCTGCACCAAAATACGTTGAATTGCCAAGCTTGGCACGCAGGGTCGGCAGCCATATTTTTCTGTAGGTTTGTGTTGGCACCATGATCCAAATCATGATTATCCCCAGGAAAATCACCGCGATTAACAGCTTAATCACACCCTTAATCACATCATTCAGGTGATCTTTCCCGGGCGGTGATGGGTTTACACTATCATTCCTGTCCATCCTCTCTCTCTCTGTGAAAGTGAAAGGGTATGAACAGTTTCTGAGAAGAAAGATGCTGTGGAGAATGAGAGTGGAAGCGAGAGTATATATATGTGGGAAGCGATAACGTTGCGTCTGTTTGTATGAGTGACGTATACAAGGAATGTTGGCTGAAGTAAGCAAGTAAGCATGGTTCATGCATGTCATTCTCTCTCATGGATCTTGTTATTTGTTTTTTTGTTCTTTATTTTACTTATTTTTGTTTCTTTTTGGTGCTACACAATATTACTATATAAGATAAATTATGACCCACAAATTATATGTGAATACAATTTTTATTTTATTGTATTGGAATTTGAAGTACTGGATTTTTTTTTATTAAAAAAAAACAAGACATGGCTTTGACTTTTGGGTGAGGATGCCACGGACCATGCAACTTTTATCGGTTAGATTTTCTTTTACGCTTTTTTTTACATACTAATTGGCGACCCTTCCTTTATTTTATCAGTCAAATATCTGTATATATGTATATATACGCATAGAGAATCTTCACAAAAATAGTAATGAATATGATTATGATGAGGTTTAATGGATAGATAATAAATTGAGAGCTGGACAGACAGATGTAGTAAAAAAATAAATCGAAATCTACCGTTTATAAATTGGGGAGGCCCAAATAAGGTAGGTCTTAAAGTGGAAAGTGGAATGGGAGCGGTGGGCTTTTGAGGTTGGTGGGCTCATGTCCGTACCATTAAGCCGTCCGCCGTTGTGTGACAGACACGTGTCTTTTGTCCGCTTCTGTGTGTCGGCTTTTCCTCTCCACGATCCTTCACGTGCCCACAAGTCCACGTTCTCTTCTCATCTCCTCCTCATCATCTCCTCATCATCACGAGTTTTGACTTTTTCCCAAAAATCTTACAAGTCAACTGAATTCTCAAGCCTAGTGGATTTGTAATATATCATTTGGTGATGCATGATTATTTAATAAAAATATTTTACATCATTTGGGTGTATATATCAATCGCTTATCATCCTCCTCAAAAAAATGAAAACAAAAACTTTAGATTCACAAGCAATTTCCTTTAAAGATAATTACTCACTTAAAATTAAAATGGTGTAGTCATTGGTTTCGTAACCATTAAGATCTGAAAAATATTCACTGTTTTTTTTTAATATTCTGTTTTATTCATTCGATATTGATGAATTATATTTATACAAAAAAAAAACTCCGGAGTCAGGAAAAGTAAATGCAGAGAAACAATCCCATCCAAAAGAGCAACGAGAATTTCGACAATGATATACATATAAAGCGAAATTGAACTTACAACACGAGACATATAACGTATACATTAGTATAACATTCACTAATACCGACACTCTTCAGAAGATATTTCGTTGTACTATAACAAAAGATGACGAGTACCCAGAGTAAGTTAATGGCTTTTGCCAGGAACCGGAAGCATCAGGGCCTCCTGGACGCCTTCAGATCGTCGCTAGGAACATCATCCACTGGCAACTTTGACCAGCCGAATCCATCCCTAACTCTCCTCCTTCGCGCCACAATGTAAACACTCGTCAATATGCACATGAAGGCCATCACTGATATCAAAGTGCTAATGTTTCTTCTGTTTGGGCAACGGCTCAGTATCATCTCTGCAGGAATGTCCCCATCAAGGCTACCCATTGAGTTATTCATCTTCATGATCTCAACTGCGTTCAAGATTGCATCAACTGCATTTTCCACGCTCTTACTCGACGGCCCAACCCCAATGCTCATCAAATCCGAAGGATCATCGACCTCCACCACGAAATCCATGTAAAAAGGCGAAGCCAGCATGTAATCCGTGAAGTACGAGATATCGAAATCTTGGTAAGCTAAATTCCCGTTGATGTAAACGTTGAAGTATAGCATACCCAGCGACATGCTAGCTATATCACAGAAATGCATCCTGATGAGATACTTGTAGCCCTTTGTCACTGGGAACTCCCATGTCATGTTGACCTGAGGAACCGACCTGTTCCTGCTTTTAACCACACGAGCTGTGTTATATACATTGTCCGGGCCAACTTCACGGCTTGCCCCTCCGGCCCTATACTTGATCCTACTGGAGAAGTAGATCTTGTCGGATCCTTCACCGGTTTTGAAAAATTCATCATCGGGAACCCAAGTTCTCCACAATGTATCATTAAAAGGGGTAACTTTCTGCCCCCCAACATTGATTCTATACACAACTTCCATCCCTTGATGTATCAAACCCTTATATTTCCCCGTTCCATCATGGGATACGGAGGTGGCTACGTCTGCTATCAAATCCCTAGGCGCAGATATAACTTCGATAGCGTTAACGAACGCGAATTTAGAATCTTTACTTGGAACCAACCGGATAACGACCTTTCCGACATCGACCCAGATCAGGAATTCCCTAACCCTAGGACCGAACTTAGTTGACGATTCGTCTTCGCCACTAAAATTCCTAAGCACGACGTACCCGTTAACCACAACGTGGAATTCAGCTTCACTGAAATCGATTTTCGAAGAATTGAACCGATGGAAATGGAGACGTACCAAGTGGGTCCCTTTCTCCCCGACGTTGAACTCGTATTTCGCGGGTCTCGTGAAAACTCTAGCCGTCCGGTAAATCTGGGGAAGGTTCGGAGATGGATCTACGGCTCGAAGAGAGATCGATCCATCGGATGAGAAGAACGCCGCGTTCGACGCTGGAGAGTCGACGACGAAGCGACGGTTGTCGACGGTGGAGTCGACGGCGGAGCCGCAGTCGAGGAGGTACTCATCAGCCGGAGAGAAGGAGACAGAGACGACGAACAGCGAAAACAGAAAGGAAATGAGGAGACGAAATCCGATGCTTGTGGGCGGAGTCGCCATGGCCGCGAGAGATCGGAATCAATCGAATTCGATGGCAGAGAGACATTTAGGCATCATTAGTATGGCCGGGTTAGATGATCCCGCTCGAGTCCGAGTCAACGCGTAATTCCAGCTGGTCTCTCTCCATATTCTTTTTTATTTAAATCATATTATTATTTTTTATAAAGCCCCATCCAACACGACGCGTTTCTGGGCCGGGCCCACAATCTAAGCTCTATAAACACTCACGATCTCCTAGAATTACCCAAACAACTCATGTGTTAGTTTTTTAATCATGAAACTTTTAATAATTTAGGAAATTCAACGTACCATATTAAAAAATGTGGTAGAATTTGCTAATGATTTCATTTCTCCTCATCAGTTTTGTTGGACATATTCTAAGTAAAAACATTGGGTTAATCCTTTTTTTCCTTATTCATTCATAATCTGTAACCCGAACACAATACAGATTTGTGTAACCATTGATTTTTCGTATTTTTAGGTCTTTTATACTTCAACGGAAAACCTGCCGTTTGTCACACAAGAAAAAAGAAACACTGCCGTTTTCTGGGATATGAGACGACGACCGATGCAAAATAGGGAAAAGAAAACGGCGGGCAAGTCTTATGTAATTATAAACACCGCGACATTTCCGTGTTTACTCATAGACATGCGTGGTGCTTAATTATCTTATAAACGTCACGTATTTTGGAAAGATAAAAACAATCCGCTTGACGTTTGCCAATCGAGCGAGCATCACGACATGATGACCGTCAGATGGTGAAATGACAAGTTCGATGATCAGATCGGACGGTGTTAAAGCAATTCACACCGAAGGAATTGAAAACAGCAGAGCTTCACTGCTTTTCCCCTTCGTCGTCTTCTTCGCCAAGTAAATACAGGTAGGGTTTTTTTCTCGCCGGCAATCATTTCGGAGGAGTTCATGGATGGAGGCCTAAGAAGCTAGCTCCCCAGGTAAGAGACGAATCTCTCATATGTTCGAGGTTCGTCTTAATTATTTTGACTTTGTTTGACTTTTGTTTTGCGTTCGAGAAAATCCGAAAAAGCAGTGTTCGATGTCGTCCTCTCCCATTACTTCTATGGAATGGCGATCGGTGCTGACTGAATGATAATTTTCTGGAACGAATCAAATGAAATATTCCCACGAACATTTAATCTGTTGGATTAGAGTCTGATTGATTTTTCCTATTTGGATTATCTGCGCAGATCGAGCTTCTGTGGTTGTTTCCTTTGTCGCGTGCTGAGTGTGAGCGCGTCATGGCTGGGGTTCGGTTCTCGGTTTTCAAGTCACTTCGTAGTTCGATAAACCATTCGTCTAAACTCCAGTCCTTCCAAGTCTATAAATGTTTGTCGACATTAGGTGGATATGTTGATCGAAGACCAAGCAAATCATCGACGGGATTTTCCAATTTCCCGATGAAGGAGCCTTGCCCTTCTTTCAAGCTCTTAAATGCGCATATTGGGACAATTGTTTCGGGATCTTCTCTTGATGGAAGTCCTTACAGAGCAACTCCTGTCCTTTCAATTGTCTCCTCGCCATCGAATATCCGTCTGCACAATGCCAGGGCTTTCATTTTGACAAGCCCTTTGCTCAGTCATGCACGATCTTTCAGCACAAATTCTGATAAACCAGGGAATCTTATAGCCCCGGGTGCTACTGGTAGCAGTAGTGAAGTCAGTGGTGGTAATCATGGTGGTAGTGAGATTGACTGGGTAGATAAGGTTAAAGACGTGTGGCAGACTACTGTAAATACTGCGGCTGATACTGCTCGGAAGGCTCAAGAAGCCACTGATGAGCTGAATCCTCATTTTCAGCAGTTGTTAGACTCACACCCATATCTTAAAGACGTGGTCGTTCCTGTTAGTCTCACTCTGACTGGTACTGTACTGGCCTGGGTAGTAATGCCTAGACTTTTAAGGAGGTTTCACAGATATGCAAAGCAAAGTTCGGCTGCTCTACTTCCTGGAGGGTTGTCGCAGGAAGATGTTCCATATGAGAGGAGTTTCTGGGGTGCTTTGGAGGATCCAGTACGATACGTGGTGACCTTCATGGCTTTCGCACAAATGTGAGTTGCTGCTCTATTCTCAGCATTCTATAACTAATGTGTTCTAACCCATATTACATCGGGGGAGGGTTAATGCATGATGATTGCCATGTGCAGTGGCATGATGGTTGCGCCTACAACCGTAGCATCACAGTACCTTACCCAGGCATGGAGCGGGGCTGTTATCCTTTCGTTCGTGTGGTTCCTACATCGTTGGAAAACAAATGTGTTTGCTCGAATGTTGTCTGCTCAGACTTTAGCAGGGATAGATCGCGAGAAGTTGCTGACACTAGACAAAGTCTCATCACTTGGTCTTTTTGTAATTGGGATGATGGCGTTGGCAGAGGCCTGTGGGGTGGCTGTTCAATCCATCTTGACAGTTGGTGGAATTGGGGGTTTGTACTTTTCTCTCCTTTGTAATTTATTTATCTTGCTTAGTTCCTTATGATAATGGCCAGAGTCCAATGTTAAAGAAAGCCTTTAAGACAGTATATGCATATCATTTTGGCTCTTCTGTGCTGCCAGTGTTTATAGATGTACGATAAACCTTTCTTCTTCAAGCACTCTGATAAATTTCCATGGCATATTTATCATATAAAAGAATCTTGCTCGAAATCATTGACCTGACTGTTTAGTTATACTTAGAATGCATCAAGACATTACTTGCCTTGTCCCTTGCTACAGGAGTGGCTACTGCTTTTGCTGCCAGAGACATCCTTGGTAATGTTCTGAGCGGTCTGTCCATACAATTCTCAAAGCCTTTCTCGCTGGGAGATACGATAAAAGTGAGTTAAACAAGACTTTGAATATGTAGCATTTCACCTTTGATGGGCGATTTGTCGATCTTTTGTGTTCTTTTCTTTCCTCTTTAAAAAAGTGTTACCAAGCAAGAAAATTTGTTGATGATTCCCTCTCTGTTTTATGTTATCTTGGTGATGTTTTTCATTTTCAGGCTGGATCAGTGGAGGGTCAGGTGGTGGAAATGGGACTTACGACTACGTCATTGCTGAATGCTGAGAAATTTCCGGTTTTAGTGCCAAATTCTCTGTTTTCTAGTCAGGTTAGTCTTTAACTTGTACCCCTAGTTTCGTTTGAACCCGATCACTATACTGCTAATAGTGATCCATTTTAATGGAGGTAAAACGATAATATTTATTCAGGTGATTGTGAATAAGTCACGCGCCCAGTGGCGAGCCATAGCGTCCAAGATCCCACTACAAATAGAGGACTTGGACAAGATCCCTGAGATATCAGATGAAATCAAGGGAACATTAAGGGCAAATGCCAAAGTCTTCTTAGGGAAGGAAGCTCCTTACTGCTACTTGTCCCGGGTGGAAAAATCTTTTGCAGAACTCACCATTGGGTGCAATCTCAAACACATGGTACATTCATTTTTTTCTTGGAAATCTTTTTCAGTTCTGATTTGTCCACAATGCTTGGGGTATTTCAACGGACCAAACCCCAATTTTAGAAATCAAGGACAATCTTTTACCTTCAAGTGTTCGACTGTTACTCTCCGGTTTTTCACACATTAATCGGGGCTGAGCACGTATTGACAGAACAAAGACGAGCTATACGCAACGCAACAAGAGATTCTTCTGGAGTCGGTGAAGATTGTAAAGAAGCATGGTGCCTCGCTGGGTAATTCATGGGATCCCACTACGTTTGGTTAACGTCTGACCAAAGAGAGTGTTGCCTTTGCAAGGTAAATAAATAGCTAACTCTCTTTTCCTCCATGGCTGCCATCTCATGACCTATTATGGGTTGTTTTCCAACATCCAAAAGTTGCACGGAAAATGCAGATGGGAGGATGGGTTTTTTTGTTTGATTGTTCTGAGCAGTGTGCCCAAGCAATCATTGTCACGTCTGTTTGGATATTTCTAATACGCAAAACAAGAGTTTGGTATTTGCCTAAATAGACGGAGGAACACTCGTCAACTTATCAGGCCCAAACTTAACAAAAAGCCCATGAATTTATATAATATTGGGCCAAAAAGCCCAACATAGTCCGCTTGTCGAGTCATACGCGCAGAAACGGCGCGTAGGAACACATTCACCCAGGCTAGGAACTACGTATTATGCCCCTTTTTGTAGTCCTTATTTTGAAGTCAACTGAGCACTATTATATGTATGTGTATATGGGCTCAGATAATAATAATAATCCATCCTTTACATTGAAAGCCATGACATGTGTAACCCGCGCGAGCTGCGGCGTCTGTCTGTACATGTATGTATCTGTGTATGTATTCGGTCAATCGTACATATAAAATCAGGCAACGAAGAGAGAGAGAGAGTTTCAATTTCAAGGCTAGAGAGAGAAAGAATGGGAGAAGAAAGACACTGGAGAAGGCGACCGCCGGCGGCGTTCATCCTAACGATCGAGAACTACGTTAAACTATCCGAGAAAGTGGACAAGTTTGAATCTCATCCCTTCAGTGCCTGTGGATACACCTGGTACCCTTCCTCCTCCTTTAGTAGGTTACGTCCACGCAATTCCAAGGATTTTATGGAACTGTTGTTTGGATTCTTGAATCTTTTTTTTATATATATACAAATGTGATAGGACGTTGATCATGTATCCGAAAGGAAACAAAGAGGATGGAGGGGGTGGCCACACATCCCTTTACGTCAAAATAGACGAAGCTTGCCTTAGAGATGCTGCTGGTGGTGAAGTTTATGCTGAAGTTAAATTTTACCAATACCGTTACACCTGGGGCCAATACGTGATCTTGAAGAGTACCTATGCATTCCAGTTCCCATTTATATATATACATATGAAGATGATGTCTATTGTTTATTTATGTAATTACTTTTGTGTGTGTGTGTGTGGGTTTCTTGCAGATAATAACGAAGTGGCACGGTTCCGCAGGGAGAAACCAGAGTACGGATTTGGGAGAGTGTCGGAGTATCCTGGATACATACAAGCAGGAGAAGGCTTCGTAGGGGAAGAAGGGTCAATTCTGGTGGGAGTCGACATTTTCGTTGCCCCAATTTATAAACAATCTCAGGTGTTGTCCTTGAAGGACACAATAGACGATTCCTTCTTCAGCTGGACTCTTCGGAGTTTCTCCGCCTTGTCCCAACATGTTTATCAATCTGTCCATTTCTCTGCCGGAGGCAGATGTTGGTGAGTTCATCGATGCATACATGTTTATATATACACACACATACATGGTTGTGGGTTGGTATTAATGATCGTGTTCTGTAACTATTTTAATAAAACAGGGCGTTGAAACTGTATCCCAATGGTAACGGAGCCGGAGAGGGCAACTCGTTATCCCTTTATGTGGTTTGTAGAGACGCAGAGCCCAACGAAAAGATATACCTTAGAGCCAAACTGCAAGTTGCTGATCGACGCCGCTCTAAGCATGCCGAAAAGCTTGGTACTCCTTTTAATTCTATGCCTGCATTGATTTCTTTGACTATTCATATACATATACGCATGTGTCAGTTGACGATTGGTCCAACACTCGGGAAGTGGGGTGGGGATATCAGCAATTTGTGCCTCTCGCGGAGATCAGAGATCCATCCAAAGGTTTCCTCTTGAATGATGCCTTGAAGATACATGTCGAATTTATCCAGCTTACCAAATCCACCTACTTCAAATGATACGCTGCGTGCCTGTGTGTGTGTATACACACATACCAGCAAGCGCTTGGAGCAGAGGGAATAACAATAACAATAATAACAAGGGTTTTCTGTTAATAATATTATGCATGTGATTTCAGAATGAGGAGAAGCATGTATAAAAGTTCAAGAACACGAACACAATTAAACAGATGTAACTCTCAAAGCTGTTTCTTCCTCATCATCATATTACAGACATTATCAGATTCAAGAAACCAACAGAGATAGAGAGTTTCTCAAAGAGGGTTATTGTCCTGTCCTGTCCTGTCCTGTCTACAAGGGGTTGTACTTGACGGATTCACGGTATATGAGCTCCTTGATGTTTTCTTCGGTGAGGGTAGGCTGCTCAAAATCAAAACTGAAGGGCATCGCACACACTGGTTCCTCGTTTATGTCGTGCAGTGGGGCCAGGTACGGATGGCACAGCGCCTCATCCACTGCACACAGAAAGAATGTTTCTTGCTTACCATCATAATTCAACTGACATAATAAACCCCACTGATGGTCATACATTCACGGCTGAGATCCGCGCCATAAACAGACAGAGGATAAAGCATGGCTACAACCTAACCTGTTATACGCCTGCTAGGATCAAAGACGAGCATTCTCTCCAGCAAATTGACAGCACCATGTGACATGTTGGTGAATCTAGCAGCGAAATTCTGCCTCGGGTACTGTGGTAGCTGTCTCACGTATCTTCTCGCATTGTCACTCCTTAGGAACCCAAGGCTCGAGTCATCCGGTGAACCTATAAGCTGTTTACATACCCAAAAAAAAAAAGGAGGTGAATTTCAATGGATCAACATACTGTAAGGGCTTTAGTTTGCCTCTGGAAACATTCCAGGGTTCCTTGCTTTCTAGATGCATTCACCTATTAAGAAAGCTTCTAAACACAAACCCAGAAACAGAATGGGCTCAAAGTTTTTGCTAAGATCCTAAAAAGAAAAAATACCACCACCATCCCAGAGCTTTATCAGACAGAAATACTGTTAAAGCAGAAAACTCTGACAAAGTAAATTACCTCAGTGATGAGTCTGAGCTGATGGACATAATCTTTGCCGGGAAACAACGGCTCCCTGGTCATTATTTCACCAAGTATACAACCGACCGACCATATATCAATTGCTGCTGTGTATTCAGAACAATTGAGGAGCAATTCTGGTGCTCGGTACCAACGTGTAACAACATATTCAGTCATGAAATCTGTCTCAGATTTTGTTCTTGCAAGCCCAAAATCCCCAATCTTGAGGTCACAGTTTGCGTTCAGAAGCAGATTGCTTGGCTTTAGATCACGATGCAATACATTGGCTGAATGCACATACTTGAGCCCTCGTAACAACTGATACAGGAAGAACTGCAAATTGTGGAAATGGAGATTATCACATGATTCACATCGCCCCCAAGTTCTGAAGCTTTGAACAAAAGGTATGCCCAATGGAGAGGAAAGTTCAAGTCATAAAGCTGGAAATTATGCTACCAGTGAAATGCATCAAAGCAATTTCGAAAATATTCTAGTTCGTCAGTTTCATTAATCTCACTTGAAGAATGAGTTAGTGACACTATTCATCACGACGAGTTTGGATTGGACTAGCTTCAGTTAATGACCCAAACGTATCTGATGTACTCCTCAGCCAATCAACTTGTAAAATATAAAGTGGAAATTTTAGCTAGAGATATGAAGCAAGCACTGAAAGGTTCATGCATACCCGGCAATGGTCATCAGTTAACTGTTGGTTTGAGCGAATAATCTGGTGAAGGTCAGTGTCCATTAACTCATAAACTATGTAAACATCATTGAAGTTCTCCCGCTGCGGTGGTTTTATTATGTCCTTTATGGCAATGACCTGCAATGAAGAATGATGACAACCTCATTAGCCCACAACGAATATGCCAAGGAAAGAAAGATTGAAACACGGGGTAAGCTTCATGACAAGCTTACGTTTTCATGACCCATATGCCTCAGAAGCTTAATCTCTCTCAAAGTTCTTTTGGCGTCGATGATGTTGTCAAATGCATTACCAATCTTCTTAATAGCCACCTCTTCACCCGTCTCTGAGTTCAAAGCGGCACTGGTGAAATATGACAAATCCAAAACGGAAACCGGTGAATTGATGGCCTTACTTCAAAATGTTCAGTCTTTATTTCTGCAGATTGATTATTCTCTAACCGATTGATCCATGGGCTCAGGCCTGTTGGTATAAAATCTAGAACTCCAAAACCAACAACCAGTTAATCAGTCTAAATCCGAAAAACCCAGAAAGCAAGAACCCTAATTCACAACTTCAGAGAGAAGAGATGTTTCAGCACGATCATCGAAAATATGCGAAATTAAGAACAACCCACCAAGTAAAACATCGCCTTTCTCAAGTAGAGATTTCAACAGAACATGAACAAATCCAAAATAAAAACCGGTGAACTGATCATGGCCTTACTTCAAAATGGTTAGTCTGTATTTTCCAGATTGATTATTCTCTAACCAATTGATCAACGAGCTCAGGCCTCTTAGTATAAAAATTAGAACTCCAAAACCAGCCACCAGTTAATCGGTCTAAATCCGCAAAACCCAGAAAGCAATAACCAATCAGCCCTAAGAAACCTAATCCACAACTTCAGCGAGAGATGCGGTTAAGCAGACAAGATATTTCAGTACGATCATCGAATATATTAGAAATTAAGAACAACCCACAAGCAAAACACCGCCTTTCTTGAGGAAATCATCAACAGGAACAAGTGATTTCAACAGAACCCTAGAAGTTTGTAATAAACCCAGCAATTAACAAACCGAGTAAAATTAGAAGTTTTTTATGAGCAAGCAAGAAAGTGGTCAAATTTCTTCAGGGAACCTCTTCGAAAGCAAAGAAAAACATGGAAATTTAGTCAAAATCATCGGATTAAATGAAACCCAGAAAAAGTAGAAGAACACCAAGCTCACCAGACGATACCGTAAGCGCCTCTGCCGATGGGGCGCAGAGGAGGAACATACTTTCTGGAAACTTCGAAGAGGTTACCGTACACATTGTACTGAACATAACGACCGCCATGCGTGGGCAGTCCTTTGATGCTATGGTCGCCGGAACCACCGAAGCATGCCTCCGCCGACATGGCTCCTTAATCCCTGAAGCCCAATCCCCAAATTCCAAATCCACCCCAAAACACGCGCAGAGAGAGAGAGAGAGAGAGAGAGAGAGAGAGAGAGAGAGAGAGCTAGATGGGAAGAGAAGACCAGAAAAGGGGAAGACTCAAGGAGGGTGTTGACATTTCAAAGTGGGATTCGCTTGTACATATGCGTGGAGAAAAGAGAGAGATACGTGTGAAGTGTGAAACTTTTGAACGGCAAAGGTGTCCCGGATGACCCGTGAGGAAAATGGGCTTTTCCTCTCTCCGTATTCTTCTTCGCTTTCCCTCCCTCGTCCTTCTTCTCCCCAACTCGAGAAATTTCTGCTATGGTTCCCCCACCAATCAAATCCCTTTTCCGCAGTTTAAACTCAGTGTCGTCGGTCCATCGAATTAAATCGGCAAAAGATTATAACACAACTTGATATTCATAATTATTACAAAAGTTTTGATTTCAGACTTTTTCTTTGTACAAGTGTTGTTATTATATCGAACGATATAATAGCCAAAGAATTAATGGAAACAATGAATTTTTTTTACGTCACAAAGATTTATAATCCATTCACGACAACATAATCTTACGGTCTTGAAGCAATGACCCTAACGGTTTGCATCTTCTCTCGCCATCCTTCGCTCCTGCGAACACAAGCCCTTGTCAAATGAACTCCATACAAAAGCAATATATATATGTGTACCATGTCGTGTATGCATAACAATGCACATGCTCTCTCGGTGTATGCGACCGTGTATATGTATGTTATGTATGTATGTATGTATGCATGCATGTAAGGATTACGTCGCGGAAGGGCAAGTCTTCAGCATCGAGCATGTGGATGATATGACCCATCTTAGGCCGTTTGTTGGAGTCAGGATCCACACAACGCAGAGCAACTAGCAACACTCTCTTCAGAGCTTTAGAGGAAGGTGGCTCTGCCAGTTTAGGATCTGCTACTTCCTCTGATCTCCTGCTTCCCACCATTGATTTCAACCAATCCACCAGATTCACCTGAAAACATTCCTCAGCTTAACACACAGATTCAGACAACTATTGTGAATCTGATACGATTGCAGATTTCAGCCGTGGAAAGGCAGGAAATTGGTTAACAAACTGAGATGGACACCCTCTGTTCTTCTAGTCACCGAGATTAGTAGCATGTCGCCTCGAAAAAGGGTTTTTATAAAAGTTCATACATGTCATATATGGCATAAGCGATTCAGCCAAATATGCAGTTCTAAGCTCTAAGAGATCCTAACTGTCATTTCCTGGTAAAATCATTGAAAGGAAAAAAGAAAAATAGTTGGTTAATCTGAGGATACCTCTCCCTGAGGTCGACTGTAATCAACAGGGTTTCGTCCCGTAATTATCTCCATGATTAATATTCCAAAGCTATAGATATCGCTCTTCTCATTTAGCATTCCTGTGCAAGCATATTCAGGTGCCACATAACTGATAAACAGCCGGAGTGAGATGAACATTTCCAAGATCAATATCTGAAACTTTTGCAGGAGGGCACAAATTGAACATTACCCAAAAGTACCCATCACGCGGGTTGTCACATAACTTCTCTCGGAGCACAACAGCTTGGCGAGTCCAAAATCTGAGACCTTTGGGTTCCATTGGCGATCAAGCAAGATGTTGCCGGATTTTATGTCTCGGTGCACAACTTTTGGTTCAAGACCCTCGTGTAGGTATGCCAATCTGAAAGATATAACAGAAATCGAATATGAATCCATACAAAAGAATGGATATGGAGATGAGATTTCTAATCTTGTTAATAAATCTCAAGTACCCTTTTGCCATCCCGAGTATAATGTTCATACGGATATCCCAAGCCAAAGGACTAGCATCCCCAACATCACCATGTAGCCATTGCTCCAAGTTGCCGTTGTCCACGTATTCATACACGAGCATCCTGTCTCAAGAAAATGGTGAGGAGGCTTTTCTTGATTATTTTGAATGTTAGAGATAATCGACTATATCTACCTGTAGGCACCTTCAACGCAGTATCCCAAAAGCCTAACAAGATTCTTATGCCTTACACGCCCAATTGCTTCCACCTCCACTTTAAATTCCTTCTCAGCTTGACCCCTGAAAATTTATGAATCCAAAATAGAAATGTGAGAAATCTTGAGAGATGACAATGCAGAAGAATAAGCTATTAATAGTAAGGACTATTCATCAGAACCACACAGGACAGATGACACCATATTATTTGCTTGTACGAATCAAGAACCTTTGCACCAAAAGGAATATGGGGAAGACCTAGATGAAGGAAGATTTCCTTATTTACACGTCTTGGTAACGGAGCAAAAACGAAGCAACTACTGGAGAAATCTTAAGGATATATTGCAAGGCATCAAAATGTACAAATGCAGTGACAGAATCCAAAAGAACAACCTTAAATAGATGCTAAACAGCTTAACCCCTGTTTCATCCAATATCTCAGCAGACAAAGGCAAAACCAACAAACTGATCAGACAGAAGCTTCAATACTAAATTGCACAAAATTAAAACCCCCAATCGCAAAAATGAGTAAAACCCATGTCACAAAACTAAAACCCTGAACTAGAAACAAGTAAAGAACCAGAATTTGATGTTGAAATTCCGACACTTGAGACGAAAATTAGAAACCAAAGCTCCCATTTTTACCTGTTATTGAGCAGGTTCTTGACAGCAACCTTGGTTCCATCAGTTAAAATCCCACGGTACACGATCCCATAGCCGCCTTCTCCGATGACACTCTCTTCACAGAGGCCGTTCGTCGCCGCCTCGAGCTCTCTCAGAGTATACCACCGGCCCCAGCCCAGATGCGACACCTCCGGTCCGGCGCTGCCACTGCCGGAAAGCGACGCCGTTTCACTGGCGCTCACTGTTCCCCTACTCTCCCCGCTCGAAACGCGGCCCGAGAACACGACCCGGTGCTCGATCTTCCCAATGTCGACCTGGATCTCCGCCGGGACGGCTTGCCCAGGATGGTGGTGGTCCACCGCAGGGGCGTGGTGGTGCACAATCTCCTGAATCTCCTTCGAGATCGGCGGCGTTGCGACGGCGCCGAAGTCCGCGCGCGGCTTTCGATTTTTCCGGCGAGAGGTTAGGCATAATGATAGAAGGAAGAGAGCGATGACTATGAGAGATCCGAGTAAAATTCCGATGACAACCCATAGCCTGAGACCGAAGATCGACGTCGGTTTCGAGAGCTCGGTGTTGATAGAAGTAGCATTGTATAGCGACATCGTCCCCCTTTTTTTCCACGTCTGTTACGCAAAACCCAGCAATGATCTGATAATGGGTTTCCGGATTCTTCGCATTTCTCGCAGGTAAAACTCCAACTTTCCGGCGAAAGAACCCGACCCGCTGGGGAATCTAAAGATACCGCCGCAGCATGTGCTCCTTTTACGCCAGCGGATGCGGAAACAAAAGCTGAGTGACCGAAGAATCGAACGAGAAAGAATTATAAAAGCAACTAAAACGAATCGAATAATATGTACAGAAAATGTATCGTAAATCAATGGAATTTATGAAAGCTTTCAGAGTGTCCGCGTGTGAGAGAGAGTATGAATGATCTGTCTGAGTTCCTGTCTCCTTGCAATTGCATGTGGTGACGGTGAGAAGGGCGGAACAGACGAAAGGACCATTTTGCCCTTCATCGGGAACGGGGGAGGTGGAATGCGACCCCTAGCTTTCGTGAGGAGTTTTATGTAAATGTAACAGTTATGGGGACGGAGATTGACCGTTAAGATGAGATGATAGAGTACGAATAGGTGCAGCGTAAGCTCCATGGAACTCACGGCATCTTTGACGTCATCGGTTCTTCTCTCGAACTATTCAATTGGTATATTTCATGAATACACACATAATTTTAGTCCTCCTATCAAAGACATTATCCGTTATACCTAGAGGCTCTTAATTGGTTGATGTGAATTTATCATTCGTATTTTTGGTGAGACAAAAAAGTTACACATAAATAAAAGGCATTATGCAACGAGTGATTGATAGGGGATGGTACTTGTATTATTGTCCCACATATATATATATATATATTTTTTTAATTTTATAGATCTCGTGAATTAATAATAATAAACCTAAAACAATGTCACTTCCTAATCCCATCACGACCATATACTATCAGACCAAATATCTGTTAGTGCATGAATAACAGAAAGAATGAGAATTTTCAACATGATCAGACTAGCTACATAGTCCAAAATGGCATTGAGACCACATTTTTTTTTTGTCATAACACATTACACTTCTCCGACAGCATGGTCTCGTGGCAACAAGCCGATCAAATCGGATGTAGAACGTGGGTTAGGTCAGAGATCTAAACTGAATATAGGTATGCATGCATCATCAGATAACATGATGATTGATATGCGTACTTGTAGTAAGTATAAAAGGGATGAAACACCTTAGTCCGTCTTTGGGTCAAGCCCATCAATGGCAGCCAGTCTTTCCACAAGAGGAGGGTGTGAGTAGTGGTAAGCTGAGTACCATGGATCCGTGTTCATCGCCGATAAGTTCTCTTCCTGAAACCACAAACAACACTCAACCCATTCTTTTTCACTGACGGATATGAAAATATGCAAAACAGATATTGTAAATAAAGAGATTTGATCAGAAGCCTTTCATGGAAAAAAAACAAATGCATCAGTCATTGATGGATTCACCTGTAGCTTCACTAGAGCAGCACGGAGATCTTTGGCATAATCAAGCTTCACAGCAAAGGCATCAGCCTGCAAGGTGAAAAAGGGTATTAATGGGGACAGGCGGTTAAAGGGAGGGAATGCATTTAGACAATTGGCACGAAGAATAATCACCTGAAACTCAAATGATCGGCTCACGAGATTTAAGCAAAAGCTTACTAGGCGTTGAACTGGTATGACAGTGTGCTGCACGAAGAATAGTAGTCCAGGAACTTTGAGAATCCCAATGATTCATGAGTTTCCATGGAAAGAAGTAACTAGCATGATTTACCCAGGTTGGAAATGCTTTACATAATCATACCTGAAATATAATAAGACCAATGAGAACGGGTTGTGTGTCAAATCCAAAACTCCTGAAGAGGTCAGTGGAATTCCTCACGAGAGTGTACCCTCCAAATTGCAAGAAAGCAAGTACCTGGAATAAGAGAAGAAGCAGAAATATGACAACCGAGTCAATAACATGATTCGCTCGAGGGAAATGGGTGAAAGCTTATGCTGGAACGAAGGAAGAGGTACTCACTTGCACTGCAACGAATGAGTACATCGTATGATTAAGCTTCCAGTGCCCTAGTTCATGTGCGATAACAGCCACAATTTCGTTATCATTTTTGCACTGCCAAAAAAGAGGATCCCTTTACTTCAGCAAACTAAATTCGTTTCATGGTGATACAAAAGAGGAAGCAAGGCAGTTTGGATCAGAAAGGAGAACTTATTCCATGTTATGTTTCAGAGCCATAATCTGACACATAACAAATCTGATTTTCCTGTACACTTGTTTAGACAAAAAAAAAAAACTGCTTTCTTGGGCCTTTGCCTAGAAGGCAAAGGAAACTGGTAAAAGTAGAGCTTAAGAAAGTAGTTTGTTTGAAGTATCCCTATAAAGAGCCTCTGTACCTGCTGA